AATTGTCGTGTCAGTCTGTAACTACAAAGGTATCTTTACAATGTTTTGCCAGTTTGAGGATATCCAGCTCACTTTGCAAACTCGATCAGGCCTATCCTACACTAACACAAATTTGTAAACTCTGTGATATAGTCTGATTCTGAATTCATATTTACTGTAGATTAAATGTGTTCTTATTATGGTGATACAGACAGTGCTTATTATGGTGTAGTTGTGATGGGTGGGAATGGTAGCTTTGTTGCAGCTAAAAATGGTCCTCTAAGGTGCTTAAATGATCCTCATCTCGCTGAAGCTTTGGCCGTGAAGGAAGCTCTATCATGGGCTAAAGACCGGGGGTTTAATAAGATAACCATCCTCTCCGATTGTCAAACAGTATGCCGGCTTTTAAATGGTAATCTATCGGACCTTTCCTTTGCGGGGTGCGTGATATAGGAGTGCCGGGAGTTTCAAAGACACTTTGAATCAGTGTCTGTTCAGTTTATAAATAGATCAGTGAACAAGTTGGCTCACGCATTAGCTTGAGCGACTCGTTTTCAATATGGTCCTCTTTGTTGGTTGATTTCGATTCCTCCGTATATATTGAACAATTATTTTAATGAAGTTTCTAAGTTTTTCCTTTCAAAAAAAATGTGTTCTGAAACTTTTTATAATTCGAAGTACTTTTTTATTAAGAGAGAAATTTGCATTCGTTATTCGATATGCTAGGTAAACTTCGTTCTTGTACAATACTTTGTAAATTATACAGGAGAAGTAAATCACATTAGAAAGACTATGTGCAACAAGTTAGGCTGAAAGGGAGTTGACAAATATGAAGATTATGCTTCAGACACTCAACCACCCATTTCGTAGCAATTCTAATATTTTAAAGATGTTTTTAAATGAGTTTTTAATATAAAAACGAGTTTGAAAAGCAAAAATCAGTGTATATGGCAAAATGAATTTAATTAGTGCCTTCTGCAAACAACCACTTTATATGACTCATCAGACTTAGTTTAAGTGGTAGATTACTTGACCTAAAAATTCACAACTCCAACAGTAGGTTTGAGGTTTGACTTCCAGCAACAAGATCAACGTAACATCATAACTGACTGTGAGGCTGTTTTGATGATCCTAATTTGTGAGGCTTGAAATTACAATTCAGTGAATTCATGTGAGTCAAGAAAGAACAAATGAATAATCGTATCATATTAATTTAAATATTAAGATAACAACATATAATATAATAAAAACATTTTTAAAGAATTATATAGTAGGGATTTTGTTACATTGACATAATTGTAAATATAGATTGATGTTAATTTTTAGAATATTGTAAATAGTTTTATTAATTATATTCAAATAAAAATATTAGTAAATATAACATATATAATTAATTATAAATAATTTTTATAAAATTATAATATTAATAGTCAGGTGAATACTCATATCAAATAACCACCTTGCAACAAACATAGTAAATACTAAATATTAGAAGTGTTAACTCGAGATGTAATGAACTAGATGATGACAATAAGTAATTTGATCTGAATTTACTTCATTCATTTTCACATCTATACTATTAACGATAATTAATATAAAAAAATATTTTATTTTCTTTAAAAAATGTTATACGTTTTACCTGAAACGATTTTATATACCATACTAATTCTAATATCAAATAACATTGCTTGGGCCGCGTAAGCACGGACGGTCTGGCAGGTGAGTGAAGTATGATTTTCGTATTTAAAGGTTTTGAATTTGATTTATGTTAATATTTTTTTTAATTGAACTTGTTACACATAAACCATATTTGGTAACATAATTAGCTTATCAGTTAATTTTAGTTTATTTGGCAACTATTGACTGTTTGACTTAGGCCCTGTTTGGTAAAATAATTAGAGCAAATTATTGTGTGGACCATGGTCCACACAATTGTATGGATCATGAATATCACGTACATTTTTAATATATTAAAAGTATATTATTTTTGTACTGAATGTACATTATTTTTGTACTGAAGGTACACTATATAAAATAATGTACCCTTAGTATATTAAAAATGTATTTTTTATTTATGCCCACACAATTGTGTGGACCATGGTCCATGAAATAATGATTGAATAGTTAGCCTATAGGCCAATTTTGGCTTATTTGACCACTATTAATTGTTTGACTTGGTTTAAAAATCAATATAAGTGTTTGGTTAATTAGCTTTGGGATAAAGTGCAAATAAGCCACTGAACTATTTAGGAAACAGCAATTAAGCCACCGAACTCAAATAACCCCCAAACAAGTCATTGAACCCGAAAAAAAAAAAAAGAAAAAAAAAAAGAGTAGTTAACATTTTTAACAGGTTAACTCCAGCTTTTTTGCTGATTGGATTGCCAAATGTTAATTTTATTTACGTTTTTTTATATTATAATCCACGTACATAGTAATACATTTTAAAGTAATTATAATCAAAATAATTTTGTCTTGTCTGGATCTAATTTATTTATTTATTATTATTTTTTAAACAGAAGATTCAGTGAAAAAATAATAATAAATAAATCAATCAATCAAATCTCAACAAGACAAAACTATTTTGATTATATTTACTTTAAAATATATTACTATGTAGGTGGATTATAATAAAAGAAACGTAAATAAAATAAATATTTGGCAATCCAGTCAACAAAACTCTAGAGTTAACATGTTAAAAAGGTTAATTGCTCTTTTTTCTGTGTTCAATGACTTATTTGCTTCTTTTTTTTTCCCGGGTTCAATGGCTTATTTGAGAGTTATTTGAGTTCGATAGCTTAATTGCTATTTTCCAAATAGTTCAGTGGCTTATTTGTATTTTATCCCATTAGATTTGTACTCCAATGTGCTAAAATTCAAAAAACTACTCAAAGCAACTTTTCCAATTAGTTTTTTGAGAAAATAAATTATACCAAACAGCTTTCTACAATCAGCTAATGTTATCAACTAGTTAAACAACCAATATAAGTGTTTGATTAATTAGTTTTTTGTAACAGTTTATTGTCTAAAACACTAAAATTTAAAATACTGCTCAAAATAATTTTTTTGATCTCCTGAGAAAGTAGCTATCAGTTAATTTCCAAACATCTTTCTACAATCAATTAATGTTATGAACTAGTCAAACTTACTAACCCAATTAGCTAACAACTATCAGCTAACAGTTATTTATCAAACACTTTCATAATCTTTTTAATATATACATTTTTGAATAGTAGATGTTATAGTTTTGTTTCGATGGAATTGAATTTCATCAATGCTTAAAAATTACTCCACTTTATGAAAGAAAAACAATAATGAAAATTTGTTCAAAAAAAAAAAAAAACAATAGTGAAAAAAAAAAAAAAAAAAAAGTCCATGGATGAGTGGATTCTTGGACCTGTACCTATAAACCTAGGAGACTAGGATAGGACTAGAACTGCTAGTTGTCCGCCTAGAGTGGTTGACTATGGATGCCAACTGCATTAATTGCATTTATTACTTAGGAGAATTGTACATCTAATTGGGGAAAAAGAAGGGATCATATTGGTATTAGCAGCAACAAAAATAAGGAAAATAATACATTAAAATTATTTCATTTACAATACTTCAAATTGGATGAAGGGTGGTGCTGTGGTGCACTACTAATTTCCTATAAAGAACAAAATAGAATTATTATTGTACGATGACAAATCTTAAACGATTAATTATTCTCTTTTTTTAAAAAATATCTTATTAACTTGTTAATAAAGTGTTCATATATTACCATGACATAAGACTGGGTGATTAATCATTCCTCTCCTTTCAAAGTGTCTTGTGGAATTGAATCTCAACTTAGCGTTCCTCAAACTCAAAGATTTGCTCATATTGAGTAGTGTTTTTTTGGAGTTTCCTCTCTATTTATTCAAAAAATGAGGCAATATGTTAAAAAAAAAAAAAAAATTTGAAAAAAAAATTCATATATGTCATTAACATATGACATAATATGATATCATAGGATTAAATAGGACCGGCAAGTCACAAGATATGTATTAAATTTGGTTCATGTGTATCTCTATAACGAATATGTATAATGTGTTGAGTAATAATGAATTTTCTTATAAATTTATCTCATAGTATCCGCGCCCCCGCCATTCTAATAAGATAATTGATAACCTCAATTTGCTCTCTATACACATGGTTCACTTGGACATTCCGATCTTGGTCATCCTTATGCAATCTTTAGTGATAATATTTAGTTAGCCTTGTAAGATCAATGCTTTTTTTTTTTTAAAGGTAACGATGGAAACATGTAATTATTACACTACTGGGAATTATAGAATTTTCGACCACCTGAAAGTGATCTTAAATCAAGTTGATACCAAAAAATTGTCGGAAATAGCAACAAAGGTTTTTTCGGATACCAAAAGTGGTCGGAACAAGGTTTTCGACTTGATTTAAGATCACTTTCAGGTGGTCGGAAATTCCATAATTTCCAGTAGTGTTATCTAAGAGTACGCACTGAATAAATTTTACTCATATATAATTACTTATAAATCACACCGAAAAAATAAACCACACTAAAAATGTCATGTATAAAACAGTCGATTGAACAAATATCGATAAAAATTAAGTTCATATATTCTAATATGAAAATCATGCTCTATTCATTCCTTCAACTAAGTGTTGTTCGGAAAATTGTAGATGCTGGATTGCCAAACACTCCACCACCTACCATGTGATGAGAAGTAGAAAAACCACTGTTAAAGGTTTATCTTTCTTATCATATTTGAAGAGACATAATTTCCTAAAAAACAGGTACACATGTTTGACCTTTTGAAAGAATAGTCAAAAATACTGTTTAATCCAATGATACTCTATACAAAAATTTAGCCATATCTTACAACATCATGTCACATGTTGTTGTTGGATGTTTTTTTTTTTTTTTTTAATTTCTCATTTTCCTAATTGTAACATTACATAACACCAAACTATAACATAAAACATTCTCATATATATTCTCCTGTAAAATACCAAAAGGTACAAATGTAACACAAATTTAATGATTTTAAAAGAAGAAAAAGAAATTAAAAGAGAGAATGGGATTGATTAGATTAAAGAGAAGAAGGATTGAGTGTTATCTGCATTTCCATATATATATATATATATATACTTGATGAGAATGATGTACATTTTGATATGGAAAATACAGTATTAATTGGTTAAAACATCTTTAATTCCTGCAAATGCTTCATTATCTGCCATGGAATCTCTTGGGAGAACACAAACATGCCTAGAAACCAACCAAAAAACAGATTCTATTCAGCCTAATAATATGATTAACTTTTTCTTGAAATCATAATAATGGGAAAAAAGAGAAAGGAATTGAAGCTAATAAAAGCTTACATTGAAGAAATGGGTTCTTCTGTGATGCCTCTTCAAGGCTTTAGAAAGCTTGGCAGCCATGTCAGTGTGGGAGAGAATCTTGCCATTCCCAGGAGAGCTCAAGAACACACTTCTTTGAATGGGGGGAGACCACAGCCCACTCTGGGAATAATCAAAGCCAAACTCTGATAAATCTGAGAATTTTGTGAGGAGTTTGTCTGAGATTGACTTGGAAACAGCCTGAATTCTCAGAGCATCAGGGATTGAGCATGGAGAAGATAATGAGACTTCAGAGATGGACATTTCATAGCAGTACATACTACACAGCTACCAGAAAAGTATGGATCATCATAAGACAAAACAAAACAAAACAAAACAAAATGGAAAAAAATATTACAACCCAAAAGATAAAAAGTGTTTTTGGATTGGGGTGGGGGTGGGGGGGATTCTGACTTTAACAGAGAATGGAGAGAAGAAGAGTGCATATATGTCACCAAATGGAAGAAGAATATGTATGGGATGCAATGATGTTGTTAGTAATGGACGTGGGCACCATGATTAAACTCCCATTTCTGGGTCAAGGTCTAACTTGCATTGTGAATCTGTTTTAAAATAATTTTCAAATTATGTCTGTATTTAATATATTAGATAGAAATTATGTGCTCATAAATAAATTGAATGCACATAATATTCCATTAACATATTATGCGTCTAACGTTAACATACACTACTAGAAATTATGGAATTTCCGACCACCTGAAAGTGATCTTAAATCAAGTTGAAAGTCTTGTTCCGACCACTTTTGGTATCCAGAAAAACCTTTGTTGCTATTTCCGATCATTTTTTGCTTTCGACTTGATTTAAGATCACTTTCAGGTGGTCGGAAATTTCATAATTTTCAGCAGTGATATTATGTGTATGTTATTAATATATTAGGTGTTTGTAATTAACAAATTATGTGTTCTCAATTTATTTACAGACATATTTAATTTATTAACAAAAGACACATAATATATAACTATATACACATAATTTTTAGACCATAATAATTAACAATACAATATAGACCTGAACCCTGGTTAATGTTATGGTATAACAATTGCTCTCCACATGTGTTCGAATTCCCTTGAATTGTCACTCAAGGGAATTCTTCAAATGCCCCGCTCCGCCACAAGGTGTCAAGGTTCATGTGATGTATAAAGTTGAGTCTGAGTTGTTTCAATTTTCAAGTTTTTCTCATTAGATCTATTAAAAAAAAATTTATAATAAATAAATAAATTAAGAGAGAATTGTCAATTACTATATAGTGTAATGATATCAAAAGACTTATATTCTTTGAACTAAAAGGTTTGAGAAAGTTAAGAATCAGAGAATTTTTTTGGAGGTTAGTTTCTTATATAGTCATATGTTGAGTGTTGACAGACCAGATGCGTGCACTGTGCACATGGGGTTTCGGAGCTGCCAAACTGCCAATAATGTATATAAACCTAATAAATACAAATATCATTTTTTTTCTCCCTTGAATATATAAAAAATAAATAAATAATTAGATCATAATGCATAAGAATCAAGTTGGCAGATGCACTTAAAATTTTAACCTCGTGTATGTTAGTCGTTAGAGTTCCACTCTTGTACAAATCAAATTCTTGAGGTGGGTTTCATGATGATGTTGGGCCTGCTCATAGTCTTGAATTTGGAATTTCAATGACTTTTGTAGACTTTTTAAAATAAAAAGTTGATAAAAGTCTATGAATGTTTTTTATATAGATTTTTATAGAGTCTTATAAAGTTTTAAAAAGTTTTGAACGACTCTATGAAAGTCAATCAAAATTTATTAAAATCTATCATTTTAAAAGTCTTTAAAACTCCACAAAAGTCATGATTGAATACACCCCCCTTAATGCAAAATTATGGACATTGATTCAATTGAATTTGAAAGTGACTCATTTATTATTGCTTGAAATGATTCCTATATTTAAATGTCACGAGTTTGATTCTCGTTAATATTTTTTATTCAACCTGTTGCACAAAATTTATTCAGCTGAACACAAAGACTAGAGTACTAGACCTTTGCTTATTGCGCACAAGGAGCTCCCTCACTTTGAAAGGTTGCTCCACACTGTCGTTAGTGAGACTCAATCCCGAATTATTATTCTTAAACATTACTTCTGTGACGAACTGAGCTGTCCATCCAGTCTTGATTGTTACTTTTCGTTGACATAGTTAGAGGATTAGAGCGGCTTGCTCACATTCAATGTAATTAAAAAGGATTATCATGGGGAATTTCATGGGCATTTTGATATACACAGAGTTTGTCATTTGCACTAGTTTTCTTGGTTCACACAATTAGAAACAATGTTGACACTACAGGTATAGAATCTGTTAATCATATATACATAATATATTAATATGTAAACGGTAGGTACATAATCAATTAACTATGGGTTTATAAAAGAAATACTTTTTAGTCCATAATAGAAACTTATTAATTTTTAACCAAATATCTATTAAGACTATACTATAATCATGATTAAATGTCAAATATTCAATTTATGAATTTTTAGCTTTAAATTTATTTACTTACAATTCATATATTATAAATTTAGAACAAGATTAGAACATACAGATAATATTTTAATTACAGGTACATAATATGAACAATGTGAGAACAACATTAGAAATATTTGACATGACACATATGTACTTACAAATGTACATTTATATACTTACGAATTACAATTAACAAATTGTGTACCTATTACAAAGATAAATTTTAACTAAACAAAAAAGTTACGCTAATCTAAACAAAACAAACTTATTTTACAATCATTATACCATGGACCAAGATCTAAAGTGCACTGTAGACCCTGGTTCAATATACAGAATTCATATTCATAATGCACATACACATAAACACGATATAATGAACATAAATTCTGTGTATTATATAAGTGAGGACACATAAATACTTAACATAATACACATAATTCATGTTCATTATATCGTGCTTATGTGTATGTGTATTATAAACATAAATTTTATATATTATAAACATAAATTTTATACATTATGAAATCAAATTATGTGTATTGAATCAGGGTCCACGATATAAATTGCCCTTATTTTAGACCGGGTAAACAATGCGAATTGTGGATATTGGTCCACAATATAATTTGTGAGGTTATATTACAATTGTTATTGCATGGACCATGGTCCACCCAACTTGGCTGAACCATGGTCCAAAACTACGCCGTTTAATTATTAAAAAAAAAAAAATTAGAACGTCAGTTTTACGGCGTTAGTGTTCCATTGTTTGCTTTTCGCCGGCCATTTGTTTCTATCTCCTCCGCGATTGCGACTGCAAATCTTCTTCATTCACCGCAACTGCTTCGTACACTGCGATTTGTATCTTCCTAGAATTGCCTCCGTCATCATGAATAATATCAATGATTCAAACAATAGAGTTGATGCGATTCAAGTAGATGATGATATTACAAGTATGTATATTGTTTTATATGCAATTTAGGTTCGTTTTTATTTTGAATTTTGATTAATATTGCGTATTTTTTATATTGTAGAAGATGTGAATGCTTTGATTCATGTGGAACCTATTTCTCCCATTGATGTTGAATCAATTCCAGGTTTGTCTTCCACAATGCTTTGATCTATTGTGCCTAGGTTTGTTTTGTTGGTTGTGTGAGGGTACATAATTTTTATTCACAGGGTACATAATCTTTGTTCACAGGATACATAGTTTTTGTTCATAGAGTACATTATTTCTGTGCAAAATATACTACATTATTGAACATGCTTAATGTGTTTATTAGATATATTATTTATATGCTTAATGTAAATTATTTACAGTTGATGGCACTTCGGGTGGTGCAACAGATGAGAGTTCACCAATTGGAGTTCAAGCTAGTTCTTCTAATGCTATGGATGAGAGTTCTTCAATTCCAGGTTCTTTTTAAAAAAGTTTTTTTATTATTATCTACTTATTATTAGTTGTTTTTTAATTATATTGATGGAATGATTCGTTTTTTATTATTGTTTTGGTGTTACAATAAAGTATTTGCATGTTCTGTTGTGAATATTGTATTTCTGTTAGAGGTACATTATTTCTGTTCAGTAGGTACATTATTTTAATCCACAGGGTACATTATTGTTATGCATGATTTATCAGTACATTCTGTTGTGTGCATTCTGATTTGAAACTTGTGCTTCTGATTAAGGTACATTATACTTGGTCAGTAGGTACATTATTTTAATCCACATGGTACATTATTTTTATGCATGATTTATCTGTACATTCTGTTGTGTATTGATTGGAGTTTTTTCTTTTAGTGAATATCTTATTTCTTTGTAGAGCATGGCTGAATTTATTCGGCACACCCCACCACCCCTCTACTTAGAAATCATATATTCACTAAACATAATATTAATCTGTTATGCTAGTAACTTGTTAGTTGTATTATTTTTTTGAAATTTACAGTTACTCAGGAGTTGTTGGGGATTACAGTTACCTCAATTGAAGAAGCATTTAATTTATATAATGACTATGCTTTTAGATTGGGATTCAGTGTTAGGAAGGGCAAGCAGTACTATGTTTCCGGTAGTCAGACTATTAAAATGAAGAAATTCCACTGTGCAAAGAGTGGTTTTAAGGACAACAAAAAAAAAAGATTCAAGGTCATATTCAAGGGTAGACACACGAACAGGGTGTAATGCGTTTTGTCAGTTTGATTTGGCGTCTAATGGACAGTTGATTGTGACAAAACATGTAAAGGATCATAACCATGAGTTGTGTCCACCTTCTAACAGCTATCTTCTTCGGTCACACAGAAGTGTTGTTGATACCCAATTGGATTATTTAAAAAACTTGAAAAGGAGTGGGGTTGCATTGTCGGATGGCATTCGATTTTTGAAACACCAGTCTGGAGGTTCACCTTTGGTTGGATTTACACCAAGGGATGCTTATAATAGCCTGCATACAGATTCGATAAAGAGATTAGATGGGACCGATTCAAATTCACTAATTGAAATATTTAGACAAAGGCAGTCGAATGAACCCAACTTTTTCTTTGATTTTGAATTAGATGAGGATGCAAGACTGTGTAATTTTTTTTGGAGGGATACAAGAATGAAGGAGGATTTTGTGTTGTTTGGTGATTTAGTAGTGCATGACACAACGTATCGTACTAATAAGTATGATATGATTTGTGGTCCCTTTGTTGGAATGAATCACCACTGTATGAATATAATGTTTGGGTGTGGGTTTTTATTGAACGAGAGGACTGACTCATTTGTTTGGTTGTTTAAAACATTTTTGCGAGCTATGGGTGGTAAGTGTCCACAAACAATCATGACCGATCAATGTGCTGCTATGTCTGCTGCAATTTCTCTGGTTTTCCCAAGTGCAAGGCACAGACTGTGTATTTGGCATATTGGAGAGAATTCAAAGAAACATATTAAATGTCTAAGGAGTCAAAACGGCTTTATGGAGTTATTTAATTTTCTGTTGAAGTACACAGACACAGAAGCTGAGTTTGAATTTTATTGGAATAGGTACATATGCTATTAAATTTATCATTTTATATATTTGATTTGTCATTCTTGCATTGTGACATAGATTACTTCGTGCTTATAAAATCAAACACGTGATGTTTTACCTTTCATGTTAAGTTGGAAATTGTAGTGTTTAGAAAATGTACTTTATGGGTTATAATAATGTACCTTATGAATTTTGAAAATGTATCTTTGCAGCAGTAATTTGATAAAAAAAAAATTCCTTATTTTTCTAGTTGCATTTAAAACTTAGATCTTTTCCTTGTTCTCTATGTGTGATTCCTTTGTAGCATGTAGTAATTTGTACTAATAAAATGAAGTGTCACACAGTTTTACCTTTCATGTTAAGTTGGAAATTGTAGTGTTTAGAAAATGTACTTTATGGGTTATAATAATGTACCTTATGAATGCTGTAAATGTATCTTTGCAGCAGTAGCAATTTGATAAAAAAAAATTCCTTATTTTTCTAGTTGCATTTAAAACTTAGATCTTTTCCTTGTTCTCTATGTGTGATTCCTTTGTAGCATGTAGTAATTTGTACTAATAAAATGAAGTGTCATATATTTTTACCTTTCATGTTAAGTTGGAAATTATAGTGTTTAGAAAATGTACTTTATGGGCTATAATAATGTACCTTATTAATGCGGAAAATGTATCTTTGCAGTCACACTCAGTTTTGTTATTTTCAGGTTGGTGACGGACTATAATTGCCATAAAAATGTTTGGTTAAACAAATTGTATGATATTAGGGAGAAGTGGTGCCCTGCTTTTAATAAAGATTACTTCTCTGGAGGTATCTTATCTTCCCAACGGAGTGAGACTACAAATCATTCAATTTCAAGAAGGTTATCTAAAACATCTGGGTTGTCTGATTTTTACAACTCTTTTGTTAATGTGGTTTCTGAGTGGAGGAGCAAAGAGAATGGGGAAGATGTGCGGTGTTCTCAAGGGTTGCCTACAATGGCATTGGATCATGTAAAACTTCTTTTACATGCTAGGAATGTATACACTATTGAGGCTTACTACTTGTTTGAGCAACAATTTTTGAAAGGTGCTGCTTGTCATCAAGAGAGTGTAGCGAGCAATGTTGATGAGCTTAAATATCACATATGGCGGCCGGATATTGACATTATTCGGCATGAGGTTTGTTTCAATATTAAGGATATGAACATATGTTGTACTTGCAAGTTTTTCTCCGAGATGGGTATTCTTTGTTCACATTGTTTGCGTATTTTGAACATTCATTGTGTTGAAAAAATTCCTGAGAAATATATTTGTAGAAGGTGGACAAAAAAGGTTGTTGAACACAGGATTATGGACATTGCATCTTCTTCTAGTATTTTGACAGTTGCTTCTCCAATTTGGGTTATAGATATGGGTAGAAAATGGCAAAGGTTAGTTCTATCAAGTCAAGACAATTGCAAAGCTCGACAAGTATGTGAAAACCTTATTGAAGATGGAAGAAGAAGGATTGAAGGTGAGGTTGGTCCTATTTGCTTTGATGATTTGGAAAGATCTATGCGAAGTAGTGGTATACAAAATCCAGAACGAAGTGGTGTGAAAGGCGACCGTAATCGAAGGCCAGTTAGTACAGTACAAAAAAAGTATAATCAAGCAAGTGGCCGAAAAAATTATGCAAAAAGAGTTGAATATAACACAAAGGCTGCCGTCCAATCTTCTATGCAAGAAGTTGTGTCTAATATTGTTGGCAGTGGGTATCTTGTTCATCCTAATGACACTACTAGTTCAGAATTGATTTGTGTTAGGTCTAAGTCTCAAAACAATTCAAATGATAGTTAGGAGTTGTATTGAAATTTTGTTTACTTATATATGCACTTCACAGATTATGAATTGGTTTTATATTGTGTGAGTTATTTACAGATTATGAATTGGTTTTATATTCTGTGAGTTTTTAAAGGAAGTATTTGCACTTGACAGATTATGAACATTTGTGTTTTATGCATTAATAAAATGTTTTCTTATTTGGTAATGTATTCAGTGGGTTAAAATAATGTACCTTGTGCTCTAAAATAATGTACCCTATTTGTTAACAAAATGTATCCTTGCAGTCTTGATTTTGAGTAATGTACTCTATGGGTTAGAATAATGTACCTTGTGCTCTAAAATAATGTACCCTATGAGTTATCAAAATGTATCTTAGTTAAGGTCACATGTTCATGGATTGATCACCACTTAGAGTCTTAGAGATGACGGGTGGTATACTCCTCAACCCCAACCCCGTCCACGCCACCATGAGAAATTAGGGGAGGGGTTCATTGGTAAAACGAACTATTATTTTATATTTTCAAAACATATTTTAATAATTTTTAAATTTGACTTTTAATTTTATGTTACTTTTTATAGTTTCTAAAAACATATTTTTGATTTTATGGATTAATAAAATGTTTTCTTATTTGGTAATGCATTCAGTGGGTTAAAATAATGTACCTTGTGCTCTAAAATAATGTACCCTATTTGTTAACAAAATGTATCATTGCAGTCTTTATTTTGAGTAATGTACTCTATGGGTTAGAATAATGTACCTTGTGCTCTAAAATAATGTACCCTATGAGTTATCAAAATGTATCTTAGTTAAGGTCACATGTTCATGAATTGATCACCACTTAGAGTCTTAGAGATGACGGGTGGTATACTCCTCAACCCCAACCCCGTCCACGCCACCATAGGAGATTAGGGGAGGGGTTCGTTGGTAAAACGAACTATTATTTTATATTTTCAAAACATATTTTAATAATTTTTAAATTTGACTTTTAATTTTATGTTACTTTTTTATAGTTTCTAAAAACATATTTTTGATTTTATGCATTAATAAAATGTTTTCAGTGGGTAACACATTTGGTAATGCATTCAGTGGGTTAAAATAATGTACCTTGTGATCTAAAATAATGTACCCTATGTGTTAACAAAATGTATCATTGCAATTGTAGTCACTTGAATTTTGGTAATGTACTATGTGAGTTAGAATAATGCACCATATGAGTAACTCCACAATAGCTTCTGCTAATTGAGCAATTAACTCCACAATGAAAAGCAATTAATTGAAAAACAACTAACTGAAAAGCAATTAACACATAAACAATTTCAGCATATCTTGATATCACTAGCTAGCACCATCTCTGAATTGTTCAACCAAAAATTTCATCTAACACAAAAATCAACAATATTCATCTAACATTTTAGAACCATCAATTACAATGATCATTGTCTACTTATAAAGATTACGGGCTGCTTGTAGTATGGATTGTTTGTGCTCATTCATTGGTAAAAATAATATGTCGGCAGCATATTTTGCCCTCAAAGATGTCAAGAATATTGCCTGCATGTATATTCAACCAAAATGGCAGTTATATAAGTCCAATTAGGTATTTATAAAAATGAAAAACATGTACTTTAAATCACAGTACTTACATTTGCAGGTGTTCTGTTAAATCCAGATTCCCAATTCGGTCCATTACCCTTAAAGGTCTGCATATGACGCATGCAATAAACTCCACAATCAGTAACATTAGTGGCATTTTTCCAAGACATCTTCACTAATTCATGGTTAAACACATCATCTTCATCATCATGCTTTGTCATTTTGTTTAACAAAGTTGTGATCCTTTTAAATTTGCAATACTCTTTGAATGCATTAACCTGCACATTAGTTAATGTTCATTATAATATATCAAGTACCTAACAGTATTCAATTTAAACTCATAACAATCTTAGATTTTGCAACTTACTAGGTTTTGATCACAATTATCATATCTTTGTAGAAAGTTGGTATTCTTGCCCAGTGTTCTATTGTCAACTACTTGGATAACCCTTTTCTTGAAGTTCAAGCACATGATGAAATAGTGATGATAGCGTATAACAGGGAAGAAAACCTAAATACATATGATTTTAGAAGTATATCCAATGAGTGTATATAAAATGAATTTCACATAATTTATTAATTTATAATATTATGCATGATAAATTACCAGTTCAGCATCAGAGATGTCAATGTTAGAGGCCAATTTAATCTCATAATCCAAAGATCCATTGAACCGTCTTTGTTTTTCCTCTGCAGAGAATTCTATTTTCCGTTCAGTAGCATCATCAATTTCCATCTGAACACAAAATTATATTACTAAGTAAACATATTACACCATCAAATTCTGTATTATATACACCAAAGCTTTATGTACACAAATAATGTACTCTGTGAACAGAAATAATGTACCCTGTGAACAAGAATAATGTACTTTGTGCAGAAAAACTAATAATCAATAAGAACTTGCATTATCAATTTACTTTTTTAATATAAGAGAAAGTTCAAGCACTTACAAAAGGATTGGTGGTGAAGTAGATGCATTTTGGTTCACCCATTCCACGAGTGATATTTTCAGAATTCATTCTTAAGCTCCAAACATCTATAATGGTCTTCTCTACTTCACCGTCCCGTAGAGTCAAGAACTGGTCCCTTGCAATGTGGTACCTTTTATACCTAAACAGTGTTTCACTGCAAGAAAAATAACTTTTTAACACATATTAAAGACAAACATTAGTATTAAACATAATTAAAGTGAAAACCTACTCTATTGGATGTTGAATAGACGGTTCCATGAATGCAAAATCAGACAGCATCTTCTCTTTCGCAGAGACAAAGGAGAGCTTTTCATTGTTTTTCGTCCAATATGGAGACCTCAATCGCAATGGAACATTTTTCAATTTTCTTTTCTCTCTCTCCCCATGTTGGACATTCTCCCTCTCTGATTCCTCAAGTGCACTGCCACATAAAAATAATGTACCCTACTCATTAAAATAATGTACATAGTGACCAGAAATAATGTATCTTAATCAGAAACACAACTTTTAGAGTTTAACTTACATGTCAAACAATGTTTGTTCCTTTTCTGTGCTTCTTTCCTCACCAGGGAGTGTAGTAGTTGTTTCGTTTGGTTTTTGAATATCCGGGGGGGTAGGTGTTAACAAATTGAAGCGTGGTGGTGAAAATGTTTCAGGATCAACAGGTTCTTCGGTGATTGTGGTGGCCTTTTCCAATGCTTCCATTGCTGCCTTTTCCAATGATGCAACTGCTGCAAGAAAGCTCTCGCTGCTGAAGATTGGATCATCGTCCAATAATGTCGAAGTCTTGTCAGGCTGGGAAGTTGAAGCAATGTTCAGCATATCAGACATCTTGCTAAAAGTCTTCTTTATAATTTCTTGTCCGGTGTTTTTGCTCCCAACTTCAGCCATTACTTCCCCAAATTCAACTATGGCTGCAGTTAGTTTCTTCATTCCCATAGATATCTTCTCTACATCACTCATTTTAGCTTTATCACCAACTGCCTGTGCCTCCACCCCATCCCCAACAATGTTGTTTTCAATCTCAGCAACCGATTTCCTAACTCTATCCAAGACTTTTCCCCTGCCATACCCACCAGAATTCTTTTCATCTGCTAATCTTTTTTGGACCATATCCATTGTCCAAACTGATATCGCAGGGTATTTCCTTGGGATTTGCTGCCCTTTAAATTGCATCCTATCAAGGTATGAAACCTAAATAAAATAAAATAAAATAAGTTAGTATGAAAGCAAAAAATGCATTAATAGAATAAGCAACATAAATTGAATTAAAGGTATTACCATCAAGAAGACCAATGGTCCAGTGAAGAATGTACTTTTTGATTTCTTCCATTTCTCCACTGTTGTAGTAAGACTATTAAAAATGTACCTACACCAATTCAAATTCTTGATGTTTTTCACGTCTATCAATGAGTACAAAATTTTGAAGTTTGTTGTCCAATTAGCGTGGCCCTTGAACATACTAGAAACAACAAACACCACAAAATCCCTTTTGAACATGTCCCCGTGGTCTTTCTTCTCAACTATACCATGGCCAAGTCTTTTCACCAATGGAGAACAATTGTCTAATTCCCAGCGTGTTCTCCATTCCTCCAACAAGGTTTTGTATTCTTCAGTTGCATTTGAGTTGTTCCCTTCAACAACTTCAACCTCACCCTTCGGGAGACCTAATGTGCTCTCCACATCATCCTCTGTGAGCTCCATCTTTGCACTCTCCAACATTAGGGAACAACTACAAACATCATAGTTTTCTACCAAATATGTATTTAGTGTATTGTCCATGCTGGACAATCTAAGCTCGAGTAATGATCCAAATCCAATCTCTTTAACCGCATTTTTTTGTTCATCACTAAGATTTGCCACCATTTTGTTAAACTCCATTGGTGACATCCTAGTCTTGAGCTGAATTTTCTTTGGAGCATTTTCTTTCTTTATAGTCCTATTAGTGGCCTTTTCTTTATTTCCGTCTTCTTCATTACTTGTAGATCTTTTCCTTTTCCGGTAGGTTTTGGTAACCTCTTTTAATGATAAATCTACTTCTTGGCTAGACATAGTTGCTGCAAGTAAAATGTTAGTTAAAGGAATAAATCCAGCGATGCTCTATTCACTAAAAGTGCTCATAAAATCATGAATTAAAATAGTCATGCTCTACAAAGAAATAAGATATTCACTAAAAGAATAAACTCCATGCACTACAAAATGTACAAAATAAATCATGCATAAAAGTGGGTACCCTGTGGTTTAAAATAATGTATCTAATGAACATATATAATGTACCTTAATAAAAAAAAAAAAAACAACTTTCAAATCTGAATGTACACAAAAATAATAAATTAAAATAATGTACCCTATGTGTTAAAATAATGTACCTAATGCATATAAGGAAAGGTGACACTGCACTCAAAGCCAAATAGAAGTTGGGAATGGAATTCATGTACTGTACAAATCCCATACTCATTCAAAAGTCCCACAGACATCACAACCCATAAAGTACACACACATATTTGATATTTGATTATATACCTCATGGCTCATAGAACTTATTCAAGCATTGGTTTGATTCATAGGGGTTCAGAAATGTGTGGAGAGGGAGAATAGCATCTAGAGGACAAGACAGTAAATCATTAGCCACTGAAGTCTAAATACAAAAGACAGGAAGCAGAAGAAACCATAAAAATGATAGTCTCTCTGATCCTCAAAAAGCTCTGCAACAATGTAGCCAGATCTAACACCCACTTCCACAAAAGATCCATACACAATAATAATTTTCTGAACCTTTTATCTATGGCCATTTCCTAGTACTGTCTCCTATCCAAATATGAAAGGGTAGAAAATAGCATACCATACCAGAGATTCAGATATGTGAGATGTCCAAATATGAAAGGGTGGAAAATACCATTCCTACACGATATTAATGGCTACTGGGTCCACATAACACTTCACTTTAATTTGCTGCCACCTACACAACTGCCTGGGAGCCTAACATCCAAATGCATCTTGTAATTCACTCATCCATTAAGATTTAGAGTAAGAATAAGTGTGATTTTTGAGTTTAGTGTGCAAATCTTTCTCAACTTAGATCAGAATAATCCTAATCTCTTAGAGTTCCTATCCGTCAGTCCCCAGGTTCTCACCCTTTGCATGTAGGCTCTGCCTTCACTTTTGATTGGTCAAGGTCTCCCAACAATCCCCTTGAACCTTTGTACCAAGACTTTAAGGTGACGGGTCGAACCAATTGAGCTAGCGCCGTGACATGGTGCAAAACTTTAGTTATTAGAAGTGGGTTGTTGATACTTAGCTTCTTGCATGGGTGACTACATATATAAGAAAATGCCCACAAATCCAACAACTAAAGCAAGAGTGCCATAACATCACTAGTCATTTCTCCACCCACTGGAAGACCATATTGGAAGGGAAATGGAAGGCAAAGCAGATAGAGCAAGATTACAGAGAGCTTAAAGCCAAATTTGACAACCTAAATGTGCAGTTTGATTACCTGAAGAATGAAAACCAGTCTCTGCTTATGCAGGTATATATATAATGTCCTACTGCATTATTATTGTTAGCTGGGTTGCCCTTTTCTTCTTGACATCTCTTTAACCCTCACTCACCATAAATCTGACTAACAGAAGCTATGAAAATCTTCTTATCATTCCCAAACAGTTGGAAAAGCTACGTTCTGAGGTAGAAAACAAGCCCGCTGGGCACAGAAAAATCCAAGATTCAAAGGGCAGTAAGGTGTTCAGGGATTCAGACAGTAAAGATTCACTGTGAAGCCTTAACTCTCCAAACCTTTTCAAATATGCTGGATTTGATACATCAATTTTACTATTTCCATCAATGCTTTAGGACCATTGTTTACATTGTGCAGAACAATATGAAATTTTATTGTAATGAATATAGTGTCTACTTTAAACAATTGAAACCTGGAAAAGAAATCCTAAACAACTACTCCAAAGCCAGTAAGAACCCTAGGCAGTAAAAAACAACTACTCAAAAATCACAAAAGCAACTACTCAAAACTCAATTTTAAAACCTAGGTAGTTGAAAATGTACCTAATCAGTAGATGGAGATGGCGTCAGAAATGGTGTACAAGAAATCTCTTGTGGCGTTCGTTTGTAGTAGGGCGCGCTGGAGGTGGCGTCGGAGACGGTTGATATGCGCGAAGAAATGGCGAAGAAACTGTCGAAGAAGCTGTCGGAGATACGCGAAGAACACCCCAACGTTCGTTAGAATTATTTTTTAAAATGATGTCTAACGGCGCCGTCTCTCCTTAAATGAAGAGACGGCGCCGTTTTGGGCCATGGTCCAGCCAACTTGGCTGGACCATGGTCCAGCCAATAATTTGCCGGTTATATTAAGTGGGTTGTTGAGAGGGCTGTAAAACGGGCTTTATCAGCCCATTTTTAGCCAGAAGTACTATTTTAATTGGGCCCAAAAGTATTTGGGACCATGAACCAGCCCACGATCAGCCGAATAATGGCTTTTCACATCTGTTTTAGATTCATCAAAATTATGTAGAATATTCATTTCATTTCCCATTGTGATTCAAATCTAAATTGTAATTTCACGTATATTAACATGACTATTCCCACTTTCTTTTTGGCCTGATCGCACCATAAGGTGGGGCTCACATAACATCATACCCAATAAAATTAGCCAATTGCTATGATTAATCACACTCAAACACTAGTACACTACAATCAAACAAAAGAAAAAATTACAATTTTCGTTCTTAAATTATAAGATAATTGTAAGATTTATCTCTACTTGTTAATCATGCTTACTTCTCTTTCCTAAGTTATAACTCACGTCCCTAAATTATAAGATAATTTTGTCTTATTTTCTAACAAAACATTATAAATGAAATTTGCAACATCAGTTATAACTTAAGAATTAGAAGTGAGCACGACCTGTTAGAAAAATGACGAAATTTATAACATTAATTATAATTTAAAGATGAGAAGTGTGCAAAACCAACACCCTACAATTAGCTTAACTTAGATACTAAAAGTATAATTTCTCGAACAACAAAATATTAAAAAATTTACCAACAAATTATATATTTAGTTATTTACTGTTCAAATACATACGACTTTTAGTAATTTTTATAAAGTTCTTTTTTAGTAATTTATAATATAACGAAAGTAAATTCAGGACAGTAGTCTAATGGTTGAGACTTTGAGAAGTTACACTTTTAATTCATCCCGAGCGGGGAAGGGTGAGGTTCATCCAATCGTTATATCGTGGACCACGGTCAAAATGGCGCCGTTAGTTTTAACGGAGCGCGCATTTTGTATATGTTAATTACTAACTGACACTACAGTATATCTAAACCGACACTGCCTCACGTATTATTTTTATATTTCAAATGAAACTGCAGTTATATCAAAATGATACTGTAGTTGTGGTGAAATGAAACTGCAGTGTATATAAAATGAAACTGAATAACATTTCACATATTTGAGTGTATATTGTACAATGAAGCTGTAATTATATCAAAATGATCATGTAGTTGTGTTTTAATAAAACTATAGTCTATATAAAATAAAATTAAATAACATTTTCACATATTTGAGTCTATAAATATCGAATGAAACTGTAGTTATATCGAAATGGAACTGTAGTTGTGTTTAACCGAAACTGCAGTGTATACAAAATGAAACTGAATAACAGAGTTACTTTTTGCAGAAGGGTGCGGAACAGATGCCATTTCTTTTCATTAAACAAAACGACGTCGTTTTGATGCGCGGTGCACGATATAGCGGAAGTGGGGGTATTTATGTAATTTCGCTATCTCTGAAAGTCCAAAACGTTGGATACACACACACACTCGTACACCTTCCCTGTTCTCATTTGTCCCTGTGGACTGTGGATTCCAGCTTCGTCAAAACCGGTCTCCCAGATTCCATTTTCAAGGCAAAAACACAACTTTGAAAACTAACTCACAACACTAACAAAAGGGAAAAGAAAAGAAAAGAAAAAGAGTTGGGGCTGTGGTGTTGTAGAAGCTAAGTGGATGATGGCTGGGTATAGAGCTGAAGACGACTACGATTATCTATTCAAGTTGGTTTTGATTGGGGATTCGGGTGTGGGCAAATCCAACTTGCTCTCAAGATTCACCAGGAACGAGTTCAGCCTCGAGTCCAAGTCCACCATTGGCGTTGAGTTCGCTACCAGAAGCTTGACTGTGGATGCCAAAGTCATCAAGGCTCAAATTTGGGACACCGCTGGCCAAGAAAGGTTGCATTTTTAATCCCTATTTTGCTGTTTCCCGATCTGGGTATTTCATATTTCTCTTTAATTTCTTCAGCTTCATAACAATAAGTTTGCTTCATTCATGTCTTTTCAAGAACTGCATTATTGTCTGATCTCAAGTTCTGAATTCTCTCTCTGTGTGTGAAAGTATTGATTGATTTGGTTGTAGCTTTCGAGAGATCTGAGGAATGTTGGTTTCAACTTGTTTAGTTTCCTAGGTTCATTTGATCTATACTAGATTAGATCTTGCTAGCTTGTGTGAAACATGTATGCTGTATTAATGTCTGATTAGGTTATTTGAACCAAAAATTTCAATAATGTTTTGTTAACTAGGTTAGGTGATCTCAACTATAAAATCAAATCTTTGACAACTGAGAATCTACAAACTTTATGTTAGGATCTAGTACGCTAAAAGCTATAGCGGGTAGCGAAGGTTCAACTTTATTTTCTTATATACCGCAACATTTTCCAGAGGCAGGGCGCTAGACTTGGCCCTTTAGGCCTCTGCCCATCTATTGAAAACGCGTTATGTTGGAATGTTGGTTGAAAAAGACATCATATATACTTTCCAGTTTATAGGTCTGTTTCGATAAGAATACTTAGGATTGTAATTTGGTCGAATTTGATTATAGACAAAGCAGCAATGGTGCTTTGCAATGTCACTCGAACAACCTTAACTTGGGTTTAAATGAATCTTGGGTTATGATATTCATATCTTGAACCAAAAACAAATTGAAGTGGCACTAATTGATTCATTGCTCGATGTGAGCTTATTTGATAGGTAGTTGTGCTTTGTTATGTCGCATATCGCGTAAATCCCGTTTAATTTCCAGGTACCGGGCAATCACTAGTGCATACTACAGAGGTGCGGTGGGTGCTTTGCTCGTGTATGATGTCACCCGCCACTCGACTTTCGAAAGCATTGAGAGGTGGCTCAAGGAGTTGAGAGACCACACGGATCCCAACATCGTTGTCATGCTCGTGGGCAACAAATCTGATCTCCGGCACCTCGTGGCAGTGTCAACGGAGGACGGGAGGTCTCTCGCGGAGAGGGAATCCCTCTACTTCATGGAAACTTCAGCACTCGAAGCCACTAACGTGGAGAACGCTTTCTCTGAAGTTCTTGCCCAAATCTACCACGTCGTGAGCAAGAAAGCCATGGAGAGCGGCGAGAATGGAACGGCTTCTGCTGTCCCTTCGAAGGGCGAGAAAATTGATATTGGTAAAGATGTATCTGCAGTCAAGAAAAGCGGTTGCTGTTCTTGAACACTTCCAAGCAAGTTAAGTTAAGCTGCATTAATGGTGGAATGTGTATTGCTGCATGTTTCTATATATGTACACCCATGTTGTTTTGAACATCCTAGGCTTTTAGTTACAGTCTTTCTAGTATTTTCTTCATTCACTTCATAGAAGGAATGTAATTTATTCAGTGGATTCCATTAACATCTGATTCATTCTTTCTTCTTGTACTACAAGGAATGCAATGGTTTTCTTTTTCCTTTTTTTTTTTTTTTTGGGGGGGGGGGGGGGGGGGGGGGGGGTTGTGTGTGTGTGTGTGTGTACATTATTGTTACAATTTGGCTTTGGTTAACTTGGTGGATTATTGCATATTTAAGTTCTAAGGCAAATGAGTATGTTTAGAGATGAAGTATTTCTATTTTTTCTAATTTCATGATTTTAAACTGTTTCCACATTTAATCCATTATTATTATTATTATTATTTAGGTGATAAGAGAAACGTGGCAAATTATGCTGTGCATCCGTATGCACCATGCATGGTGCATACGGATGCAAAAACGACGTCATTTTATTAAAAACGCGCGTCTCCCCTTAAAAAAAAAATTCAAGTTCGATTTCCAGCAACAACATATGAATTAAAATTCCAGAATCGATGAACTATAATTCCATAATCAATGAACTATAATTCCATAATTGATGAACTATAATTCCATAATCTAATCTATGAACTAAAAATTCCAAAATGAATGAACTAAAATTCTAGAATCTATGAACTAAAATTTCAGAATCGATGAACTACAATTCCAGAATCGATGAACTATAATTCCAGAATCAATGAACTAAAATTCTATAATCTATGAACTAAAATTCCAGAATGAATGAACAACATAATGTTGTTGCTGGGAATTGAACCTGAATTTTTTTTTTTTTTAAGGGGAGACGCGCGTTTTTAATAAAACGACGTCGTTTTTGCATCCGTATGCACCATGCATGGTGCATACGAATGCACAGCATAACTATCCGTGCATCCACTGCTCAAGAGACGGGTTGGGCCTGTTTAACCCGTATTTTACACGGGTTGGGTTGGAGGATTTTCAGCCCAAGACTTAACATTTGATCTTTTACTTAACTTATCAAATTATTATTATTAAAACCAATTATGCTAAGAACACATATTGAATATTTTAATATAATTATATATCTATTTTCACCTCCCTCTTAGGGGAGCAACACGATACCAGTGGACCACAAGCCACTTAGTAATTATATATCTATTTACATCATTCACAAGCATTATTAAATATATAATTGATTTATATTACATTTATTACAAGTATTAATTAATACAATTAATTGTATCTTTATATAAATATTAATTTAAAGTTTATTTATTATATAAATTACATAAAGTAATAAATTATATATTTTATAAACTTTATAACTTAATAGTATATATTATAATTACAAAATAAAAAATATTACATGTAAAATATATTAGTATTAAATATAAATTAAATAAATTATAATTACATATTAAAAACTAAAATCTAATTTTATATGTGTATATGTTATATGTGTAGTGCAAACCATATAAGAAATGTAAATTGCACTAGGAAGATCTAATGCGACGGACTCGACTAAGATGATATCGACAATAATCGGATTCGTGACTTTCAGGTATTAAAAATCATGTTCCTCCTATTTGACCATCATTTTCGGGACAATAGTATTAATATTGTTATATATGATGCACATTTTTTATTTGTTTTGCAACATTTAACCCTATGATTAAATTTTAGTTTTTTTTTAAAAAAAAAAAAAAAAAAAAAAAAGCTAGTGTGCAACTATTAACCATATTTTCAATTCAGAATCATACATTTTCTCCTCAAAAGCATCAAAGTGTTCAAGTTAGTATCTTTTTGAATGCTACTGATTCTATTACAATGTAGCATAGAGCTAATAATGCTTCCACTGAGACTCGAACTCACAATCTCTCATATGAGAATCCAACCCAAGTGTCATCTAAACACAAGGTGCTTGGCAAGTGTTCAAGTTGGTGAAGATTAAATGTGACAAAAATTATAGTCTTGCATGAAATATGAAAAAAAAAAAAATTGAAATCAAACGTGAGATTAATCTAAAAGTCGTTAGAAATTACATGATAAATGCATGTTATGTTAAACATTATTTGGGTTGTTGTGATCATTAAAGGCAATATATAGAACTGATCATAATTGATGTCACCTCTCTAGAAACATAAAAAATCCAACTGTTTTTTCACTTTATTTCACAAGTATAAAACATAATTTTATTTTTTTTGGAACATACAAGAGAAATTCGTGGTTACTATCTAAAAGTGTGTATTGTGTATTTTAGTGAGAAGACCATGTGTAACAAGTTTAGTCAAAAAAATATTAACAAGAATCGAACTTATGATCTTTTAAGAGTTAATACCCAAAATGGTCCTCGACTATAGTGGTTTTTCTCAATTTCGTCCTAAACGACTTTGGTGACCTAATACCGTCCCAGACTTTTGTGTTTCGCTCAATTTAGTCCCAGATTTTTGTATTTTTGCTCAATTTAGTCCCTCATTTGTTATTTTGTCCATTTGGTGTTAAATAAATAGACAATTCATTAATTTTAATTTGGCATCTCTTTACTCATAGACATGTGAACTGCAAAATCCCTTTTATTTTACGAATTACTCCCAGAATTACTTCTAAAACTGCGAATATAAAATTTGATTTGCAGGTCCGGGAGTAATTCTGGGCTTAATTCGTACAAGAAAGAGGAATTTCGCACTTCACAAGTTGAAAGTAAAGAGAGATCAATATTGACGTTACTGAATTGTCCCTTTATTTAACACCAATTTGACGGAATAACAAATGGAGGACTAAATTGAGCGAAACACAAAAGTCTGGGACGATATTAGGTCACCAAAGTTGTTTAAGACGAAATTGAGAAAAATCACTATAGTCGAGGACGATTTTGGGTATTAACTCGATCTTTTAATATGATAACTATGCTTTACTTAATCAGCAACATCTTTTGAAACAACATAAATTTTTATTTTTATTTTATCTTTAAGGTAGGTTAAATGTGCTATACTGTAAATCCACTCAATAATGTTTTTTTTTTTTTTTAAATATCTTTTTGGATCTGAGAGGAAGGGGAATATCCAATATACAAAGCTCGGAGCGTTATGCTGTGGAACTATGCTCACTTTGTAAGGTGAGCACGGTTCCAAACGACGCCGTTTTCATGTGGTTGAGTAACGGTGCCGTTAGTATAATGTAGATTCATAATTTCTATAATGTAGATTCATAATTTCTAAATCGTAGATTTATAATTTAAATACATTAGATTCATAATTTCTTTACAGTAGATTCATAATTTCTATAATGCATATTCATAATATCTGTACTGCAGATTCGTAATTTATGTACTGTAAATTCATAATTTCTAAACTGTATAGTTATCAAATTATGAACATAGTTCTGTGATTTGTGAATACAGAGTTCAACAATTGGAAATATGAATATTGAAAATTATGAACATTTAGCTCTATCACATGTTTTCACAAACCTAATACTGTAGATTCATAATTTCTATATTGTAGATTCATAATTTAAATACAATAGATTTATAATTTTAAATTGTGCTATTGCGAAAAGAGAAACGCCATTAACGGCATGTGAAAAACAAATATATATATTTTTCTAATTAGAACGAACGAAAACGACGCCGTCGTGAAACTGTGCTCACCTTGCAAGGTGAGCACGGTTCGAGAGCATAATTTGCCACAAAGCTCCTAACCATCTAGAGCGTTCATCTGTCGCCAAATAGGAATTCCAAATCTATGATTATCTAGAATTTGCAGCAACCCATCAGGAGGAAGGGGAAGAAGGCTGAGAAGAATAGGAAATCAAGCCACTATGAGATCAAGGTTTTTGCCAAAAATTTGACAAAGGGGGAGATTGTTGACTCAAAGTGTTTTGTCAAAGTTATGTGCAAAAGGAATTCCAAATCTATAAAGGAATACCAAGCCTAAGAGGAGTAGTTATTGAAGAGTACTAGTTCTAAAGGGAATTGTTATTGAAGATTTTAGTTCTAGTCTGATTAGGAATAACTTTATTATTCACGAATCTGTTAGGAATAGCTACTATAAATAGGGGTTGTCCTTTCTTGTAGAATTCAAGCATTCAACATTAATCTTGTGAGGTACGAGAGTCTTTGAGAATAGGATACTAAATTCCCCTAGAAAGTAGTACATGTGTTTAGGTTTCAATAGTTTGGTAGGAAAGATCATTCTATTGTGTAATCTCAGGTTTCAAACAGTGTACTTTAAATATTGAGCTTTTAGTGGATTTAGGCAAGTTCTCAAATTGAGAAGTGTCTCGCAGATTAGGGTTGTTTGCCCGAACTGCGTTACAGATCGTTTGTGTTACAACGTCAGTTTCAACATCACTGTGTGCTGCGCTTATACAAATTTTCAATTGGTATCAGAGCCAAACTGCTTAAGTTATTAGCAGGATCCTAATGGAGTTTCCCAGAGAAGGACTGTCAAGCACTAGGCCACCTGCCCTCATTGGCACGAATTTTTCCTACTGGAAAGCCAGAATGCAAATATACATCTTAGCACAAGGAGAAGGTGTCTGGAATGCTATAGAAAACGAATGGAAAACTCCAGTTGATGATAAAGGAAACATAAAACCTAAAATTGACTGGAGTGAAGAAGAAAAAACAGAATATAACTTCAACTCGAAGGCAATGAATGCAATCTATGGAGTTGTGAGCGAAGATACCTTCAAACTGATTGCCTCCACTTGCATAGCCAAAACTGCGTGGAGTATATTATGTGATCATCATGAAGGGAACACGTCTGTAAGACAATCCAAATTACAGATGATACAGACAGAGTTTGAAAACTTGAAAATGGAAGAAGAAGAAAATATCACACAATTTAGTGCCAGAGTTTTAAGCATCTCTAGAGATGCGTTTAACCTAGGCGAACCTATTCATGAACCTAGGCTCGTCAAAAAGGTCTTACGTTCCCTACCTGAGAGATTTATGATAAAGGTTACAGCCATCCAAGAAAAAACAAAGATCTAAACACCTACAAACTGAGTGATCCAATAAGAAATCTTCAAACATTTGAGCTTGAGATACTGCAAAAAGGGAAAAATAATGACAAAGGAATTGCGTTCCAATCAAAGCAGAAAGGAAGTCCAGAAATTGATACTGAAACCATAGAACAATCAATT